CCATTACTGTATTTAGATAAAATAAAAACTACTAACAGTCTTTTTTTTCAGGAACCTTTTTCACTGTAAACTAGAAACTACTGACATAACTCTTTTTTTCAGGAAAAATTTACTTTTTCAGCTAATAATGCAAACCATGCAAAAAAAACGTTAATCTGCTGACAGTTTAGGAACTTAGGAATGCGCGTGCAACCCATACACACTGAAAGAAACGATGTAACATTTTCACAATAATAAAAACTGAAAAGCCTGTGTCTGTGTCCATTACTGTATTTAGATAAAATAAAAACTACTAACAGTCTTTTTTTTCAGGAAAATTTTTCACTCTAAACTAAAAACTACTAACATTACTCTTTTTTTCAGGAAAAATTTACTTTTTCAGCTAATAATGAAAACCATGAAAAAAAAAACGTTCATCTGCTGACAATTTAGGAACTTAGGAATGCGCGTGCCACCCATACACACTATAAGAAATGATGTAACATTTTCACTATAATAAAAACTGAAAAGCCTGTGTCTGTGTCCATTATTGTATTTAGATAAATTAAAAACTACTAACATCATTTTTTTTCAGGAAAAAAACAATGCAAATCATGCAAAAAATATACTAACAGTTTTTTTTCCAGGATAATTAGACGAACATAGGTCACACGATGTAAATAGTTTGAAAAAAAAATAAAACATAAAGAACAGTGTCAGAGTAATTTTTTTAAATGTTGGATAAAAACTTCTAACAGTTTTTCAGGACTGTTTCTGTCAGCTGGTATTATGCACGAACGCCACGCAACACCTAATTTAAAATCTACTGACATTTTAATTTCAGGATATCTGGACTTGGTTCATCATGTAAACATGGTTCAAAAACAATAAAATCCAGAGACCTATTTGTTATGTTATCACAGAAAAAAAAACACAATTAACAAAGTTTACTTTTCAGGACATAAAAAGACTAACACTGTTTACTTTCAGGAACACACTTGTCCACAAATTATGCCACTTTTGGGGCATTTCTACAGCTACTGGAAAGGTAAGCCTTATAATAAAGTATAATCGTGGTACTGACAAACACTTTTTTCTCAAGTTCCTAGGACATCATGTTATGGGCCAGAAACAAAACTTGGGATGAGAAGAAACCAGGTGAACAGGTTACTTTTAAGGTTTTTTGAGCTGCTGACACATATCTGGAAAGTCTATGAATTGATGGAGAACATGCTTATGGAGACAAATTGTCTAATGTGTTTTTCATTTTCTAAAATCAGCAAGATACAGAACACAAAGTTGGCCAAAGGTTTAATTGTTGGTCAGATTACATGCCTATATGTGATTTTCAGCTGCATATTAATTTATAATTACAAAAAAGATGCAACATTGTGTGGTCCAATTAAAGATACTGAGATCACAAAGGAACAGAAGATGCTATGATAATAATAAAAATCAATATTGAAATTTAGAGTATGCTGAGACCAGCAAGCCAATTTTTTAAATCTGTATACAAAAATTAGACAACAGTATTTTGGAACAATGAGGAAAAACAATAATGACATTATCATGAATTAATCAATTGATTGTCTATTGCGGAGAAAGAATTTGTATACATTGTATGTGCAGGACTTTTAGGATGTGCACAAAGACGTCTGTTTACTATAATAAATCAAATCATGCAACACACGTAAAGATTGTGCAGTTTACATTTTATAGCTTAGACCTGGAACTTGTGCCTTCAGTATGGAAACAGCTGGTCTATGAAATCAATCTTGACAAGGAAGCCAATAGGAAGCAAGGGTGACAGAATAACTACACAATCTAGACTACACAGGTTAAAGGAAACCACTTCTTCTTAAGGAGATGATCACCTCAACCCTAATGATGACATCATAAAAAACAAATACAATGGTCACAGACAGCAGCTCTAAGATACTAATACAGATATGATCACAACAAGCCACCAAGGGTAAACAGTGGAAGACACTGGATATATAAAACATATCTGCCAAAGAAAAGTACCACTGCTCCACACCACACAGATGACCAAAACAGGGAAACTGGAAACATGGATAGCAGGGGAGCATTTCACTTCCTTTTTTTAAGATGACAAAACAAGCTACGTTAAAGTACAAATGAAAGCTACAGTAGCTGAAGAGCATCATATTATACATCTACTCAGTTGACTTCAACAGATCATCTTAAAGCAAGAGCCACACAAGAGTAACTCACCTCAAGCAATGCACACTGGTTCCATAGAAGAATACAAGTTACCCCATGAGTTGACACCAAAAGGCAGCAGAAAAATTGGACCCTTTCAGAACTTTACACTTCTAAAACAACTCGTAAAGCCATGAAAAATTGTAACAGACCACCACAGCTGAGCACCATTCAACCTACCACACAAATGACAACATGCCACCTTAGAGTTGTCACCACTAAATAAAAGAACAACAAGCTTTCCAGAAAGCCACCTTTTCAGTGTCTAATGACAATCAATGAGGAGCATTACTTGCATATTCCACTACACCAACAAGCTTCTTCCCTCTATACCACAAGATGTCAAGTGAAAACATGAGAAGCATTTTTAAGAATTTCAATTCCCACCACACAATAAAAACAACCCCCCACCCCCTTGAAGCAACACCCTCTAAAAGCTACAGGAATATGTATCACATCCTATCAATCAGATAACACTTCTGCAATAATACTGACTTCACATGCCACAATAAATCCCAACAACCAACCACACAAGAGCATCCCACCACACAAATCACAAAACCTGCTTAAAAGGAAATGGTCTCTAAAGAACATCTTTAAATTCCTTCTACAGTGACAAGTAGCCACCTTGAATCAAGAGCCACCACAAATATTCTTTAAAGTTCATACCTCCTTCCACCCCCACGGCTGACAAGCCAACCTAAAAGAACTGGGCCACAAAAGAACATTGTACATCTGAAAACAATATTTTAACAAGAAACATGGAGCACTTTTGGGAACCATAACCAAGGACTGCAAAATAATGTATCACACATTCTACCAATCAAATGACAGCAACCCCCTTAACCTCTAGAAAAGCCAAAGCGACACAACCCCAGGATAAGATCATTACATTTCCTAACACATGGATGACACTAAAGGCCACCTGAAGGAAGGGCAATTAGGGATCATGGCACTTCAAACACACAAATGAAAATCAGCCATCTTAAAGGAAAGGTCACTAAAGACCATCACACTTCCTACTTAACCCTTTAACTACCAAGATCTCATTGGTAATTCTCCTTACTGTCTCCCATACAGTTCTTATGATGGTAGTTTGGAGAATTTGGTATTGGATCAACTTATGATCCCCTAACTGATATTTTTCTTTGTTTTCACCTCTTGTCTGCTTGATATTGTATTGATATTGTAGTACCATCAAACTTCTAACCAAACAGATGGCAGGCCACATTGAAGCCATGGTAACTGAACACTACCATTGATAATACCTACCAAAACCACAAGAAGCTACCTTAAACTAAATGACCACTTAAAACAGTTCCTCCCACACAAGTAATAAGAAGCCACTTTAAAAGCAAAGATGACAGAAGACCTTCAGACTCGTTACTTCACAGATGAAGAGACATGTTAAACCATGAGGTATTTAAGACTTGCTCACTCTACATTCCACACAGATAACAATATGCTGCCAAAAAGACAATTAAAATTTTTATCAAACAGATGACAGCAAACTACCTTGAATTGCTCGCCATGAGAGACCACTGCACATCACTGAACACAGGAACTAGAGAATATCACCCTCGCCTTTCCTTTCAAACAGATAGCAAGGGACCATAAAACAAAGAGGACAGATATTAACACATTTTCAAACAGACAAATGGCAACCTTTCCTTGATCAAAGCCGACTTGAAGCTATCACACTCCATTCCATGCAGATAATGAGAGGCCACTTAAAATACAAGACATAAGAAAACCATCAAATCGTCTACCACTGTGATGTCAATAAGCACCCTAAAGTGAAGACAACAGAAGACCCTGAAGGATTGTGAACATCGATGCTCTCACTGGAAGATTGCAGAAGACAAACCACAATACAAAGTCAACTGAAGACACAGGCATCAAAGATGACAGAAGAACCAGAAGGATTGTGAACATCATTGCACTCTAAGGCAGATGACAGATGACAAATCACAGTGAGACAAATTCAACTGAAGATACAAGCCACCCTACATGAAGGATCACTCCCTCCTATTTTTATTTATCTTGCAGGTAATAACAAGCTACCTTGAATTGACCAGAAAAGCCATGCTATGACCAGGACCACTGATGAAAACCACACTTTCTCCCAGGTAATTAAACAATAAACAACAACAACACCTCTTAACACACAGTTGATGACAAGGTACCTTGAAAATTTGAAGGGCCAACAAGACTACACACTTCATAAAGTACAAATGAAAACAAGATGTCTCAAATTAAGGACCTTGAAAGACCATCACTTCTTCTAATAGACAGATGACATGCCACCTTACATCAGGATCCTTCAAGACAACTACTCTTTCTTCTACACAGTTACTGGTAAGAATGTGGCACGTTCAGTCAAAGAGAAAGAAACACTATGATTACACTTTCTACTACCAGAGTAAGGGTATAGGACTGTCAAATTCCACACATACATGAATCACAAGAAAAGCATTCTCTTCCAAACACAGAGATAACAACAAACCTTGAAGAAGAAAAGACTAAAAGAGACCATCATACTTCAATCAACACAGATTATGCCAAGCTACATGGGGACTACAACAGGGAATCACTCTCCCAGCAGACCATACCACAGAGGAATATCACATTACCTACCAAAAAGATGACCACTACAAGCCAACTGGATTCATCGGCCATAGATAACTTCTGTACCAAACTTAATTCCTACCATAAAGATGGCTTAAAAGATTGCAGAAAGTAAAGACGAGCATTAGACTTCATCCCTAGGATTAAAAGAAGCCAACATAAAGCAAGGGCCACAAAAACCCATATCATATCCTAGAAACAGGTAAGGAAATCACCCTTCCCCTAAACAATAGGGTTAACAAGCCACCTTGAAGCAAGCACAAGAACACCACACTTCCTGCCAAAAAGCTGACAACAACAAGTAATCAAGAGGTGTGAATGCCACGAAAGAGCATCATCTAGTGGTCCTTACAGACAAATACATGCTAGCTATCATAACTCCTTCTTGTCATACAGGAGAAATGAAAAATGCCTTCCACACTTCCTGCCAAAAAGCTAGCTGACAACAAGAAGTCACCAAGGGGTGCAAATGCCATGGAAGAGCATCATCCTTTCTATTGTAAATACATGCCATTGTAACCTCACAATGGAATTCCTCTTTTCATTCCCTGAAAGATGTAACAAAGCTTAGTGGTCCTTACTGACAAGCCAGCACTTACCCTGATATAACTCCTCCTCATTAAACACAAGAGACCCCTTTAATTCCACACTTCTGCCAAAAAGCTGACAACAGGAAGTCACCTAGGGACGTAAATGCCATGGAAGAGGATCATCTATTCTACTGTGAAATTATACATACCAATGTTAACCTTACAATCAAATTCCTCTCCTCATTTCCTGAGATATCTAATAATTAAAGCTTAGTCCTCCTTACTGACAAGTCAGCACTAGCTGACTTGACTCCTTCTCATCGTACATGAGAAATACCTTCAATTCCAAAAGACCTGTCATTGTCAGGGAACTAAGCAATTCCTTTAATCAAGATCACATCAGAAATTCCATTACTATGCAGCTTCATAACAGCAGTCCTACACTATTCTGATTTTCTTCAAATCTCCACTTAGTTCATGCATTCCTCTCTTTCTCTGTCAATAAGACTTCCATGCTTTTGAATGACTTCTCCTTTGGATAGTACTGACCCTCTTATCTGAGCTCACTGAGGCAAGAGAATTCAAATCTTAATGGGATTCAAACCCATGAAACACTTTCTTACACTAAGTAACAGACAGTGAAAGTGCTTTCATCAGTCAGCATAGATTGCTAATCAAAAGTAAAAGAACTTAAATCTTATGGGATTCAAACCCATGAAACACTCTCCGACACTAAGTAACAGACAGTGAAAGTGCTTTAGTTAGTAGACATGGAACTTGCTGATAAGAAGCAAAGAATTAAAATCTTATGGGATTCAAACCCATGGAACATTTTCTTATACTAACCAACAGAGAGTGAATTAGGGCTTTCATCAGTAGACATGGAACTTGCTGATCAGGAGCAAAAGAACTTAAATCTTGTGGGATTCAAACCCATGAAACACTGTCTTGCGCTAAGTAACAGACAGTAAAAGTTCTTTCAACAGTAGACATTGAATTAGCTGATCAGAAGTAGAACTTAAATCTTATGAGATTCAAACACATGAAACAATTTCTTGTACTAAGTAACGAGTGAAAATGCTTTCATCAGTAGACTTGGAACTCATTGATCAGAAGCAAAGAACTTTAATCTCATGGGATTCAAACCCATGAAATGCTTTCTTGCACTACGTAACAGACAGTGAAAGTGCTTTAATAGAAGAGGAACAAACCTTAACCAAGAGTATTTACACCTTAATGAGATTCAAGCCCATGAAACACTGTCTTGCACTAGCTGGGTTTCATACAGTGAAAGTGTTCAGTGAAAAAGGATGTAACCTAGGCCAAGAGCATGTAAAACAATATGAGATTTGGTAAGCATGGCAACAAAGTATTTTGTACTAATAATCCAGTGTTCTAGATAGTTTTATTTTCCAGTGGCCATGTTGTATGCAAAGTAGTCAATCAGAATTCCATAGATGAATCATAATGCTCTATGTCAAAGTTGCCAAGAAAACTACCAGTACATGTGTTGGCTGGGCCAGGAATATAAAACAAGGACCAGTTCAAAATCCACATCCCGGACAAGAAAGCTTAAGGTTGGTCAAACTATAACGCAAGTTTCAAATTGCATGCATAATTACCCCAGCTAACATAGACCAGATAACAATGAATTGGAGGCAAATCAATAACTTTGAACCATATCATAAATTGTGAATTATAGTAAACAAGAAAGGAAAGAATTTTAAACAATGATGTAGATGTGAACTGCAGTTAACTCGGGATATGGATTAATGCAATACTAAATTGAAATGATTCATGAAGAACTGGTCATCCTTTCTATGTCTAGAATGTGTTTTTACATTTGCAAATAGACATATTTCATTTTAGTTGTTCTTAGTTTCATGTTTCATATGTACCTGAACTGTGTGGTGGCCTAAATGCTGGCTTTAAAAATGATGATTGCACAGTTACACAAACTGGTTAATCCACCTGTATGGATGATAACACACTCCTGGTTATGAACAATAACTAAGACTAAAAATGGTGGTTTAGTAATAAAAGGAAAACTATCTATTAATTCAATAATAATGAAGTTTAAAACATAAAGAGTGCAGATAAAGATGCCATGATGACTTTAACTTCCTCCTCTAAAATGAAGAAAACAAGCTGGTAACCTGATTGTAAAACACAATTTAACTCCTGAGTACAAGCCTTTAATTCATATCAAATTTGTGAGCTGCAAAATTGAGAAGGATAAGCATGCATAGAAATCTCTTGGTAACAAATTTCTTTTTTAACAGACAGTTTCTATATCTGGACACATACTGACTACATGTACATTTATTTACCCCTGCATTGTACAAGCAATTATGCAAATTCATCTTGCACAGTGGATCATTAGTTTTGCAAGTTTGCACTTTGATGTACTAACACAAGTATTTCAATGTGAACTTTTGTGTTTTAGGCATGTTAAGACCTCTATTGATGACTGAACTTCATGACTTCTTAAAGCTCAAAGTTTGCAGTACTACTCATCAAGGGAATGCACATGTCCAATTGTGGAAAAATTTGACATGCTTCCTCAAAGTCACTCAGCATATGGAACTTTATTAAGTTAATTTTTAGGTACATATTTATAAGACACCCTAAAACCCCAAAGGTTGCACCATAGCACTGGTTGGGGGTACACGGTCCCTATTTTTCCTCTTATGCATGGGTTTTTTTGGGGTTTACGTGTCCGGCTTTGGTGCGCTAGGTTAGTTTTACATTTTAAAGAAAATTTAAGAGCATATCTACACTGATCTAACCAACAAAATCATGATTCAGTGTATTTATATAGCTATTGTAAAAACAGTTTTAATGACAAGTAGGGCTCAGATTAAAACTACATACCTGGAGTTAGCAGTTTTTGTTTTTGTTTTTTTCCTTTTTCAGAGTTTAAGTTTCTGTTCTATTTTCAGTACAGTATTTCTCTTGTCACATTTTGTAGACCCCTGGGCAGGCATCAAATGAAAATTCTCTTTTCTATGACAGCAATTGTTGACTTGAAATCAACAATTGCATCAGAGCTTTCTATTTCAAAAATGGTTTTTGAGTATGACCATTTCACAAATAAAAGCATAAAAGCTATATCTATTTCAGAAATAGTCGTTTGAGTCTGACCATTTCAGAAACAATAGCATAAAAGCTATCTATTTTGGAAATAGTCACTTGAATATAACCATTTCAGGAATAGAAGCATCAAAGCTACCTATTTCAGAAATAGTTGCTTGAGTTTAACTATTTCAGAAATAAAAGCTTTTGATGAGTTTATAATACAACTTCATAAACTCAAAATTAAGCTATTTTGGTACAAATAGCTTAGAAATTTAGAGAGAAGTTCATTTAATGCTCTTCCCTACATCTTGTAAATGTGATTAGATTGGTGTGCTGAAAAAGAGAAAATATAGTCGTAAGTTTGTACTGTGGCATTACATGTATGTTGTTCAATCTGAGCCTTTAAAATAAGTCAGACTCAATTTTCATACAATTTAATTCTTAAGAGTGAAATTGGAAGTTTAACTTAGAATAAGTCCATCCAAAAAATTCTGAACTGACATATTGTGGACTCCCCTTAATAAGAATATTTAATTAACATTAACTTTTAACCTTAATAAGCAACTAATATTAATTAAATTAAGGGAGAGTTCAAGATGTGTCAGTTCTGATAGCATGTTAATATACAAAATGAAAATGGTTTTACTGATTTACCAGTAGATTTAAGTCTGATGGTAAAGTGTATAAATCTACATTTTTATGTAGTTATGTTCATATTTCAATTAGGAACTGATCAATTCAAATAAGGACAAGATACCTGACAAGTTTAATAATAAAGTATTACCACGAGTCAGTGAATAGTGGTCTTGTGTTAATTAAAGCAATCATCAACTATTAAACATGAAGATTTGAAGCTTTTGTGACTTATTTTTATCCATTATCTCTGATACAAGATTCATGTGTTCATCCCAGTTTTAGCCCTGCTCAAAGAAAAAGGTTATTTTCCAGAGGCACTTGTTCCTATAACTTCAAAGTACAGGTCATATCTCTACATCTTTTCACCACCTATTCCCAAGAACAGTTATAACAACAATAACCCTTGTCATTTTCACCAAGTCAGGTGAAAAAGGGTATCTATACCTGTGAGGCCCTGTTAGGGTAAATTCCAACAGGTGACAAGAGGGAGAGCTGAAAAAGAGAAAGTGAAATCAACAGCGACATTGGAGTTCTAAAAATTAGACAGTGAATTGCAGTGCATTAGGCAAAAGAAATTGTATTTTACAATTAAATTAAAGTTTCCATGAGTATTGACAGCCTACTGTGTGACCAGTGCCATCTGACTCTCTTCTCCTCTTTCATATCACGTCATGCTCTGTCCTATTAAGTCACACCCTCAACATTCAGATTTTCCCCTTTCTGGGTCTGTTCTCTCTGAATTCCCATATTGCACTTTGCAAGGCTCTTAATTTTGGTCTATAACTATCCGAAAATAAAATGTCAGGAACAGAATTACGAGAATGCATTTACGTTGAACATTCTATACTCGAACATTTGCAATGTCAATATCGGTGCATTTGGACAAAATTCCAACAGCGACATGCTAACCTTCCGAAATTGGGACGTGAAAAGGTTTAAACTCAGACGAAGGATTTAAAGACCCCTTCCCCTAACGGGACCACACTTGTAAATGGGCTCTGAAGAGATAGAACAATAGCAAGACTTTGGACTTGATTTTTTGTTTTGTCTTGTTTTGGTTTTGTATCGGTAGCGCTGCGTTATGAAATCCACATTGATCAACAGTAGTTGCCATGACCACACTTGGAGTCGAAATCACTCAGTTTGAGGGCAGCTTAACCTGGGCGATATAGCATAACGAAGGGCCCGGGCATCAATAGAATTTCTGGCGTTCTTTTCAAGAAAGCACAAAAGTTCAGTGACAGGGAGTTTCACGCCACTGACATTTTGAGCACTCCTCCTTTCCTTTTTCTTACTAAAAGCGCATTAACAAGGAGACACATACTAGGTTATTTTGAAATGATTCCTGCCACTAAGTGCGTTTCAGCCTAACCTGTTGAGCGGATCCCTTTACCAACTTTTTCAAATAACCTTTGAAGTAACACAATCCAAGGAAACAAAAGATGCGAGAGGAAAACGCGACTTAGACCAGTGTCGTTAAACTGAATCCGCCGCATCTCGGTGGAACATGCTTGCCGCCATTATGACGCGCAACCGCGTTCCACTCGCGTGATTCCAGAATCATGCGCGCATTTCTTTGTTTATTTTCATCAATCTATCTTTCTTTGGTAGCCCATGTAGCCTACGAAGTACAATTTTGCACTCTCCAAATTCCAAGATGATAAAGTACACCAGGAAATACTTAATTTTAATTTACCTCTTAAAAAAAGACTGAACAACCAAAACGGTTTGTGCAATAGAAGCACTCGATGTTTGTTGTATCTCGTGCAAGCCTCGTGAAACAGTAGAAAAGATTCAGAAGTTCTAAATATTCAATGAAGGAGAAGATAACCATTTTAAGATTGCCTTTATCCAAAGTATTCTAACGGCGTGAGGTTTGGAGCGGGTAACTTTGATCATATGGTCTTTCCCATGGCCTATCTCTATACTTTAGGAGTATACTGGTTGAGGCACAAGTGGCAGCTGTCAGAAAAATCCCCTTACTGTCTGCAGTAGATTTCTTAAGATTTCACTGTTTAACCAATCAACACCCTCTAGATATTTTGCTTTCATCTTATCACTTTAGAAATGTGTTTTACACATTGTAATTGGTCAATCCGGGTAGAGAAAGAGTCAAGCCATGGCTACATAAAATTTTACTTTCAGTGCAGCTCAGTGGTTGTTTGTCCAGACAGGTCTTTATACTGATGCTTAATTAAGAAAAATGGGATGGTGGTGCAGAGAACATGAGGAAAGAGGGGAAAGGGTGGGAGGTGGGAAAAAACTTATCAACTGCATAAACTTGAAGCTTATTTTAAATTTGGTCTGGGGACTGGGGTCTAAGGTGCAAGAGAGAGCATGGTACAAGAAATGGAAGACTATGCTTGTAAACCTGGCTATGGATGCCCAATAACACATATTCCATATTTAAAAACCTTACAAAGTCAAAAGAGGTACAGGATATTGAACAATGAAACAAGTAAAATTGTTTTAATTGCTTAAAATTTTAAACCATTTCTAACATTTTTTTTTTAAATGTGCAAAATGGATGAAATAATTTTAAACAAACAAGGATAAATCTAACCTAAAGCTAAAAAAGGCTAACCTAACTTTTATCAAACAATTAATTTTATTCCAAAAATCACTCCACTTAAATGTTGGGAGAATGGTCATATCTGGTGATAAGCCCTATTTTTCAACAATGGGAACAGCAAATGCACAATCTTCCTCAATGGCCAGATTGTAGTCTCCACCTTTTCCACCTTTGTATGCTGATGTTACAATTCTCAACCAGCCCTCCTCTCCCCACGGAGTACCCCAGGAGTTTCGCACAATCCAGTATTCTGTGCCATTTTCCACACCCCAACCAGCAACTGATATAATGTGGTTTATCCCTGGTCTTGGGTTGTATTCAGCATAGATTCCTCCTTGGTACTTTTCCAAGCTTGGAGTGGCCATGATACCACAGGCAATAGGACCTCTGGCATAAATTTCAGCCATCATCTTTTCACGTCCTTTCACTCTCCCTGAGAAAGCATTTATAAAATTTGTCAAGCAAAGAAGCACAAAATGTTCAACAAAACTTCTAAGCTAATCTGCCCTACTAATCAGGCCAAAATCATACCACTAGAATCTGACCCACATCTCTCCAAGCTAGTGACAGAATGGCACATTAAGATTTGCTGAAGCCATGATACTACAGTAGAACCTACATGTTTGATTCCTTGTATTGATAAAATTACACTCATTAGGAATTTTCCTGTTACTGATACAAGAGGTAATAGGTAAGTATCATTACTAAAAACTGTACATTAGAATGTGAAGTGAAAACATTGCATTGATGTACTTGAAGTTCTTAACAGTGTTGGAAACAAAGACTAGACCTCAACAAGAATAACCAATTCAGTAAATGTGCATCACCTCGGTCAAAAGTGGTAAAATGTGTACTGAATGAAAATCATTATTTCACCAAATTTTTTTAAGTATTACATAATTCATAATTCCATCTTCAAATGATTCTCTCACCAAATTCACTGACTTTCCATGAAGTGTAGTTCTTAATGACATGACATTCACCAAATGTGGTGCAGGTACCACACTGGTTGAAATCTGTACAACTCTGGTCCTTGGCTTGATAATTGTTGCATGTTTCACTAGGTATTCCCTTTTCATGAGCGTAATGATACACACCAATCATACCACCACCATGACATGTGCCAGCATTGCCTGTTGACGATTAAGATAAAAATAATCACTAACCCTTTAGCTCCAAACAATACCACCCCCAAAACACACATTTAAGTCAAAAGAATGAAAGTAATGATCACCAACTAAAGCTAAAGAAGCTATTGATCATTAAACAAATTCTCCTTGTCAGCACCTTTGGAAATGTATAGAGACCAGTATGGAGAATAGGCATGATGATATTTGGGTGTAATAGTAGTTCATGAGAGTTTTCATTTATTTTGTTTTCCTCTCTGAAGGAAACCTATGCCTCTTCAATTTGCCTCAATTCTGATCTTCAGTTGTGTAATATTTCTGCATTTGGAACAGTTTTTATATAAAATGAGATCCCACTGGCTTTGTGTGGTATGGCCCTTTTTCCTATGTGTCATGGTGATTACCATTGTTTTGATTTTAAGTTAACAAATTTTTTCATTTCATGGTGTTTCCAATTTTGAACAGTTTTTCTCTCAATTACGAATATTGATTAAAATGAAGAGTTCAATATACAAGAAGTTTAAGATATTTGAGATAACAATCAAAATTTTCTTACCACAGTCCAGGACATTCTGAACTGACAGGAGGTTGCTAGGCCATTTCCCCTTGCGCATGATGTTGATTCTATCTGACATTGCACTAGTTGTTCCCTGAGCCCAACAGGAGCCACAGTACTGAGGGATGTGTTGATTACGTGTAACACTGGCAAAGTTACCTTTTCCAGGAACATCTCTCCAATCCCACTGTTTGGGAATTGATCCTGTACTCAAGTACTCATGGGGCCGTGGAGTTTTCCTGTTTAAAATTGAAGATAGGTTGTACAGCATTAATGTATGAGTTAAAGCAGCATGCAGATGACATCTTTTGCTAGCTCTTTGCATAACCACATATTAAATTATGTACAGTTATTTAATGAAAGCAAACAATGGCAAAAACACTAAGATTCCTTCAGAACAAAGGGAAAAATTTCCGCACAGCCCATACTTCATTATGCATGCACATCTAATTAGTGATACACTGAATAATAAAGCCCCGTATATGTATGCATAATGACGTATGGGGCTGCGCGGAAATTTTGCCAAACTGAGGCTCTGTTTTAGAATATCATTGGGTTTTAGGGAAATCTCGCTAAATCCTGTACAAGCCCGATTTCTTTTCAGGGGCCATATTACGCCGTTATCTTACCAACGGGCATTGACTGACAAAACATTGTTTGACGTCATATCTCACCAATGATTCAGCGAAAATCATCTTCAGAAGGCATTTTCGACGTTTGAGAGGAATCTCGTTGAAAAAACATTTCGCTCTTTAAAACAGTAACTTATCGTATTCATCATTTTCGATTTCTATCTCGGTTTGGCTAAACAGCTTCAGCTAAGTCTGATCTCAGTTTAAAATTTATAGCTCCGATAACTGTTGGTCATTTCAGAGTTGAAGACACGCTATAACATGACAAGTCCCTGCGCAGAAAAAAACACGCTCACACTTCAAGTTATACAGTTTGATCTGTTTGTTTCAGAAAAGGTACGCCTCTTACCAACGAAACTGAAGGAAATCTGGAAAGCAGAACACACCAGAAATTATTTACTCACACAACTTCCTTGATGCCTTTGTCAAAACTTGGCTGATAACAACCTTTGCCGTCTTTGCGAGTGGGAAATCTGAAAGCACATGTAATTCCCAACAAGGTTAAACACACCAAAAGAGACTTCATACTTACTAGAAGAACTGCCGTATCGATAGCAGGGTAGATTATGCAACTATTTGCGGCGTTTTTCGGTTTTTGTTGTCAAAACCCGTTCTCGTGCTGGTCACAAGACCAATAACACATGTGACTATCGTTTCCAGTCTCTTCAGAAGAGCGCTCGTGATAAAACATGGCGGTGCGGCGGATTGATCAATGGAAGGAATTGGAAGGAGTATGGCTCATTTTCTATGCATTAAGGTATTTTATTAGAGAGGAAGAAAATTTTTTTTTAAAATTTTTTGTCCAAAATTTTGGGCTTTTATCTCAAATGAGTGATGATGTTCTGGTTAGTCTAATTTGCCTCAGAGCTCTTAAATTTGTGTGAATTTGCTGTTCGATCTTCATACATTTCTCCCTATAAGTCTGTTCAAAGGTTAGACTGAGTCTTCAGTGCGTCAGCACTTTTAATTAGGCAACCCTTAAGCGACAGTAAATTTGAAAATATTTCTGCACAACCTCTTACTATTCTAATGGTTCCTTGACATAACCCAAAACTTTGTAAACAAAGTTCTTAACCAAAGCCCTTAGACGATCAATTTTTTTGCCTTCTTTTTCTTTCCCTTTTTCTTTTTTTTATCTAGATACTGTACGTATAATGAAGTACAGGGTAATAGGAAAGTCTTGCTTCAAATTTGTTTTTTGAAAAGCATACCCTGCTGAAACTGGTTCTTATACATTTTAACCCTTTAACTCCCATGAGTGACCAAGACAGAATTTCTCCTTACAAT